CTGCCCGCACATGCCCTGTTTTAACCCGAGATCTCGATCTTTAACACAGAGACGCGGTATTTTTTACAGGGAATTAGAAGAGAAAGAAAGAGAGGGGATGACAAGCGCTGGTATAGGCATATCTCAGTTATAATATTTCGCTAAGATTCCAGAACAGACATATTATATTACAAGCTGGGGAGTTCTTTCACATCAATATTTCATCTCCTTTCTCAGTACAAGAATCCAGACCCTTTCTGATTGCCATGTCACGCTTTCGCTACGGGCCTACTGACCAGCTCTTATCAACGCGTGTATCTACTTATTCTGCATGGAGCTCTCAGCAGAATCAATGCGTGGCGATCAATGCCAATCGGCAGATTCCTCTATGGGGAATTTCTTTGCGTTTTATTAACTCATTTTGTGCCAGCAGCTCCTTGGAGTAAAGTTCCTTTCACAAATTAGACGTGACCCGTGGCCGAAAGAGTTAAACTGTTTATTTCAGGCCTCGCCAAAAAGAAAGGTCGTAGAGTTGTCGTGGAAACCCTGGTGCCTCAACTGTGCTCTTCGCCAATATGCTCGGTGCAGCAATATCCGAGACATGACCAGTGGTTCGAGATCATCATCACCGACAGAATTGGGTGGTCAAGCTAAAGCTCACGAATGTCCTCAGAGGGATAAGCATCAGGTCGGCGACCTGCTCGGTGGATATAAGCGAAGCTCAATGATATGTTCATGGGATAAGCGCAGCTTGCCGACATACTTTGCACATCATACTGATATACCCAGTGGATAAGCACAGCTCCACGACTCGGTGATATACTGAGCGAATATAAGCAGAGCTCGCTGAATATACTCAGTGGATAAGCACAGCTTGTCGACATGCTCAGTAGATACTTGCACAGCTTACTGGTATACTCAGTGGATAAGCACAGCTTGTCGACATGCTCAGTAGATACTTGCACAGCTCACTGATATACTCAGTGGATAAGCACAGCTCATTGATATACTGAGCGAATAAAAGCAGAGCTCACTGATATACTCAGTGGATAAGCACAGCTTGTCGACATGCTCAGTAGATACTTGCACAGCTGACTGGTATACTCAGTGGATAAGCACAGCTTGTCGACATGCTCAGTAGATACTTGCACAGCTCACTGATATACTCAGTGGATAAGCACAGCTTGTCGACATGCTCAGTAGATACTTGCACAGCTGACTGGTATACTCAGTGGATAAGCACAGCTTGTCGACATGCTCAGTAGATACTTGCACAGCTCACTGATATACTCAGTGGATAAGCACAGCTTGTCGACATGCTCAGTAGATACTTGCACAGCTTACTGGTATACTCAGTGGATAAGCACAGCTTACTGTTATACTCAGTGGATAAGCACAGCTCATTGATATACTCAGCGAATATAAATAGAGTTTACTGGCATACTCAGTGGATAAGCACCAGTTGGTCGATATGTTAAGATTGGGGCATTCACAGCAAACTGTCGCTGCTAGCTCAGAAAAGTGAACAGGCACGCTATTCGCGGAAATACACAACACTTCAAAGCATAACATAGTGATTGCACAATTAATGAGGATATTGAACTTACATGCCCTGTCGATACAGCACAACTCGAGGATATAGTCGTTGATAAACACATGATATGGCCATAAGAAAGCATAGTTTGGTGATGTACTTATTTGGTATATTCTACTTGCTGATATACACACTCTTTAAGCACATATCGCAGATACACGCAGATGTACCAAGCCATTGTGCAGATATACTCATTTGTGCCAGCAGCCACTTAGAGTAAAGTTTCTTTCACAAATTAGACGTGACCCGTGGCTGAAAGAGTTACACTGCATATTTCCGGACTTTCCAAAAACTAGGTCAATGGAAAGAATCTCTCGCATACAGTCATTAAGCACCACAAACTGATATACCCAGTCAATAAGCATTGCAAGCTGATATACCCAGTCAATAAGCACAACAAACTGATATACCCAGTCAGTAAGCACCACAAGCTGATATACCCGGCCAATAAGCACCACATACTGATATACCCAGTCAATAAGCACCACAAACTGATACACCCAGTCAATAAGCACCACAAACTGATATACCCAATCAATAAACACTACAAACTGATATACCCAGTCAATAAGCACCACAGATAAACCAGGTCAATAAGCACCACAAACTGATATACCCAGTCAATAAGCACCACAAACAATATCGTCATTAAGCACATCCCTAAGATATGCTCAAACATAAACCGCTGCTCGCCAACAACTGTCTTGCAGCACGACTGGCCAGTTTAGTTTTTGTACGAATAATGATGTGTTTGTTTCATATGTATAACAAAAATCGTTCTGTGCGCATTGTAAGTGTTGATTAGGTTCCAGTTTTAGTGGCCTTGGTTTTACTTACTCTGCAGTAACCTGAACCAACCAAGAATGTCAGCGCTTGTCATGAACATCTGCAACTTGAAACCTCTTTCAACATCAGTCATGTTTGACGTAATCCACAGTCGTACGACCAGTGTCGAAAAGAAATAAAACATATCGGGAAAGATCATGTTTTATAAATGAACTCACATATTGTCATTCATGTAAATTAAAACAAAAGAAATAAACGTATGGTGTGGTATGTCATCAATAGTGGGCTCGATCTAAATAAATCATGATTAAAGTGATTACATCAACAATATTCAATAACTGAACAGATAATTCAAGCAGACGAGTCGTACATAATGTATTAGAAAGAGCACTATTGTCATTAGCAATTCCAGAATGTTATACTCAAACAGGTGACTATGTCCTACGGCAAGTCACAGCGCTCTAAACCCAGAATCTATTAAGATATAGTATTAAAAGAATAAATAAACGGCAGGCCAGCATTGACCGCATGCACAGTGTCTGCAGGATGCTAGTTGTATTACAAGCATGTGCTTTTAGCTATAGCCAAGGGACACCTAATGACGCCCACGGGAACATCTGAAATGAGGTCAGAGTTGCAATTTATAATATCAGTCGGTTGCTTTGTTGTGACGTCATTGCCAGATGGCGGGGTCATTGCTCATTCATCTGAATATTGATTCACTTGATCCAGAATCCTAACTCAACCTACATCAATCAGACCGCCGTTATGAAGCCAAAACATACTCGTCCGACTGCTGACAGCGGAAAACAGTCCTTGCAAGCGGCCACACCGTTTGCTTTGGCATTGCGAGCCGGTCGGTCATCTTTCACGACGATTCTAACTCTGGACATTGGATCTGTAGATAAACAGGTTGATGACTTACAAAGTTTATTACACAGAGCGTTGGCTTGACGAAACTAAAGGTAGAAAAGTCGATAATTCGGCCATGTATCACTTTCTCACAATGTTCTAACATTATTATCTCTGTTGATTTAACACAGCACTCAGCAATAGTCCAGCTCTAGGCCTATTACCACGACCTGTAAATGATTGAATCTGGTCGGCCAAACAAGTGATCGATATTATAAGCAACAACACTCTCCGGGGGAGGTATGACGACACGCCATCAAAACGGCACAGCGATTGCCCACTTCATCCATTGAGTCGCCTCCCACGACTCGGTAACTCTTCTAACCTCCACCTTCAGCTGAGTAGAAGGTCGACTTTGCCAAATGGTTGCTGGGCACTGAAGCTCATTCGTGCAGGATCTACTTAGCCTTGATTTCTTGATCAAGCATGTCTAGTGTCATTTTTTTTCCAAACCTATCTTACCCGATTGTCGTGCACTGAAGCTCTACTTAACCTTGATTTCTTTATCAGGATATTTCTTCTGCTCTACCAAAATCAATATTACGAATCAGTTTGAAACATATGTCAGAAGGTAACTAATAACTGAATAGTTTTACAAATACCAATGAAAAGAGCGTTCATCACTGACTATAGGATATAATGCACAGTCGCTATTTTTCTATTGTTGATATCTTGCTGTTGCAGAGTAACAATATGAAGGTACTGATTTCAAGTAACACCTGCTGATCAAAGATTGAACACGTTTTGTGTAACTTCCAGTTTTGGGGTTTTACAATCGAATCGTAAGACAGCAGAGCAAAGAGCATCTAAATAAGCATCTATTGTTGATTTTTAAAGTTTTGATTTGTTGTCATGGAAATTGTGAATCAAACCTGCAACATGTATCACATTCAGTATATTACCCAGTGAGCCACCGAAGCAGGTGCTGATATCGTTCAATCTGCCATGTCAGGACTTCAGTGATCACCATTGGTCTTTCTGTCCCTGCCGTCATCAGGTTACTTTTATACCGCTTCTACTACATTGTTTCACTATATCGCGAGCAAAAGTTTACCTTCAGGGAAAAATTGGAGCAGTATTGTTCAAGTCAGCTACGGAAAAAATAGACAGATGAAGATCAAGTTTAGAATTATTAAACCCAAGCTTGTCGTAAGAGGTGACTAACAGAATCAGCAATATTACAGCTATATATTCCAGTCTGTAAATAATCGAGTCTGGACAAGACAATCCAGTAATCAACAGCAAGAACATCGATCTACACAATTGGGATACGATGACATGTGTCAACCAAGTCAGCAAGTGTGACCACCAGATTCCGTTAGTCAACTTTTATGACAAGCATGAATTACTGAAGATCAATTCTGACACGGATCTTCACGGGTAGTAATGTGTCAGACATCTGGCAGTAATGTGAGAGATCCATATCATAAAAAATACAATGAAAACTCATACATCATAAGTTCAAAACTATAAATTTATTTTTCTCTAAAGATATCACAGTGTGAGGATCTCCACCCCTTCCTCTGTGACTAGAACAGTGTGTTCAAACTGGGCAGACCGGCAGCTGTCCAGTGTCACCACCGGCCCAACCATCCTCTAAGATAATGGACGTCTGGTTGTCCGAACAAATAATTGGCTCTGGGGAGAGAAATGCACACTGTACCGTCTAGAAGTGATAAATACACTGAAGAAATCAATACAGAAAAATATCCAGTCGTTTTAAGCCTTGAACAACATGTGTGAGGGACACAAGAGTATTTTACGCATTGTGTTACAAATTAACAAGGTATGATAGAAACTTAAAGATCCTTTTATATTCCTAATGTTTAAATCAAAGTTTAAAAAGACTCCTTGGTTTAAATGCAGTCTCAAAATCTTTAATGTCCCTCTCAATGTTTACACTCCAATTGATGACATTATTCATTAAGTTGAAATATGAAAAAGGTTTTTGCTAAAAGTAGTTTTGCCAACACAAAACAGATAAGACTACTCAGGTAGCAACACAGGAAAGGGTGTAAGTTGCATGACACCAGTATTAGCTTGATGTGAAACAGACTACTAAAAGGGATGAAGTGACCACTGGTAATTGGTTCTGAAATGTCTAAACCAGGCAAGTCGACAACCAGGACCAAATTATTAGACAACCAGGACCAAATGAGGGCAGAGACATGGAGCTGAGAGCCAGCATGGGTCATTTAGTTACTCGTCACAACAATCCTAGCACATAGAGAAACTCACCCACAGTGAAAGTCATCCTAGGTGCCATGACAGCCTCATCATGATGCTCTGCAAACACATTAGACCAATTAAACAACCTGATACTGTCAAGTTGCCTTCACAATATGACATGCCATCAGTGGTAAGTGAAGAAAACTGGTGTTTAAAGGGAGACAATCATGATGTTGCAAACACACTTCACAAGCAGACAAAATCAGATGGATCAGCTCAGTCCTTCGTACCCCTTGTGGTCAGCTCAGTCCCTGTACCCTTGTAGTTAGCTCAGTACCCCTGTACCCCTGTGGTCAGCTCAGTCCCTGTGCCCCTGTGGTCAGCTCAGTTCCTGTGCCCCTGTGGTAAGATCAGTCCCTGTACCCCTTGTGGTCAGCTCAGTCCCTGTACCCCTGTAGTTAGCTCAGTACCCCTGTACCCCTGTACCCCTGTGGTCAGCTCAGTACCCATGTACCCCTGTGGTCAGCTCAGTCCCTGTGCCCCTGTGGTAAGATCAGTCCCTGTGCCCCTGTGGTCAGCTCAGTCCCTGTGCCCCTGTGGTAAGATCAGTCCCTGTACCCCTTGTGGTCAGCTCAGTCCCTGTACCCCTGTGGTCAGCTCAGTACCCATGTACCCCTGTGGTCAGCTCAGTCCCTGTGCCCCTGTGGTAAGATCAGTCCCTGTACCCCTTGTGGTCAGCTCAGTCCCTGTACCCCTGTTCAGTTAGCTCAGTACCCCTGTGGTCAGCTCAGTACCCATGTACCCCTGTGGTCAGCTCAGTCCCTGTGCCCCTGTGGTAAGATCAGTCCCTGTGCCCCTGTGGTCAGCTCAGTCCCTGTGCCCCTGTGGTAAGATCAGTCCCTGTACCCCTTGTGGTCAGCTCAGTCCCTGTACCCCTGTGGTCAGCTCAGTACCCATGTACCCCTGTGGTCAGCTCAGTCCCTGTGCCCCTGTGGTAAGATCAGTCCCTGTGCCCCTGTGGTCAGCTCAGTTCCTGTGCCCCTGTGGTAAGATCAGTCCCTGTACCCCTTGTGGTCAGCTCAGTCCCTGTACCCCTGTAGTTAGCTCAGTACCCATGTACCCCTTGTGGTCAGCTCAGTCGCTGTAACCCTGTGGTCAGCTCAGTCCCTGTACCCCTGTGGCCAGCTCAGTCCCTGTACCCCTGTAGTTAGCTCAGTACCCATGTACCCCTTTTGGTCAGCCCAGTCCCTGTACCTCTGTAGTCAGCTCAGTCCCTGTACCCCTGTGGTCAGCTCAGTACCCATGTACCCCTTGTGGTCAGCTCAGTCCCTGTACCCCTTGTGGTCAGCTCAGTCCCTGTGCCCCTGTGGTCAGCTCAGTCCCTGTACCCCTGTAGTTAGCTCAGTACCCATGTACCCCTTGTGGTCAGCTCAGTCCCTGTACCCCTGTGGTCAGCTCAGTCCCTGTGCCCCTGTGGTCAGCTCAGTCCCTGTACCCCTGTGGTCAGCTCAGTCCCTGTACCCCTGTGGTCAGCTCAGTCCCTGAAATCCATGGTCAGCTCAGTCCCTGAATCCCTGTGGTCAGCTCATACCCTGAATCCCCATGGTCAGCTCAGTCCCTGAATCCCCGTGGTCAGCTCAGTCCCTGAAACCCATGGTCAGCTCAGTCCCTGAATCCCCGTGGTCAGCTCATTCCCTGAATCCCCATGGTCAGCTGTTATAAGCTCGGTCCCTGGACCACTGTAGTCCAAGGACCCAACTTGGACCAACCAAGGACCCAGCCCAGTCCTTTGGCCACCAAGTTTAATTTGGTCCCCCCACGCCACCCCTTCTCCCTGCTGTCAACCACCATGGTCAGCTTGTTCCCTGACCATTGTATCAGCCCTGTCCTGAAACCACTGTGGACAGATTTGTTCCTGCTATCCCTGTACCACAGAGTTACATTTGTAGGTTTACCCCAATAAATCAGAGTGTCATTTGTAAGAACAGGTGTAAATGACTTTTCAATGGCCTTATATTTCACTGATTTGACATAACGGAATGCAAGTCTGTACTATAGCCCTTATACGCTACTGAACAATCCCAGTTTTAGACCAACATGTTGTACTGTACAAACCGAAGTGGAGGATATCAGGCTTTTCGTGGAAGTTTTCTCCTATTCCATGTCCACAGAATTCAGGAATCACAGAGAATCCAGCACTGTGAGCAGCAGAACTGAAGGAAAATACAGGTATAATGAAGATCACCAGTGAACCATCATTCAGGAATCATTGTCAACATCTGATTAGTACTTACAACATATAGTTGAAATAAATAAATAAGAGTCAGTAATATCGTTTGACTCTCCCACTTCAGTGGGATTAGTTTGTGAGTGAGTTTAGTTTTACGCCGCTCTTAGCAATATTCCAGCAATATCACAGCGGGGGACACCAGAAATGGGTTTCACACATTGTGTCCATGTGGGGAATGGAACCCGGGTCTTCGGCGTGATGAGCGAACGGCTTAACCACTAGGCTTCCCCGCCACCCCAGCAGCAGTGCAAATTAATTCAGAACAGCCTTAAATCCATCTAGTCAATGAAGACTACCATCACTGGACTTTTACTTGTCCTCAAAACAATTTTGTAATCTCAGTCTAGTGAACTAACATGCATCTCAAACACTACATCTGCATAACACAAACAACATGTTAAGGAAATCAATTTCCTAACCTTGGTAAGGCAATGCCTCTGCATGGTATTAGCATAGTGACAAACCTGATTGCATTGCCTATTTCACAGAATCTGACACCTGGTTTACAAACAGCAACCCTGCATCTCGGCAACGCCTTGCAACATCAACCAACAACTGACCTCCCTGTCAACGTTGCCAACCAGATATTATTATGATAAGGGTCTGGGGTCCAAGTGATTGTTCCGGTGAAACACCTTATCTAACTGGCGTGCTGGTCTGCTTGGGGGAATTAACTCAGCAAAGAGTCCGAAGTCACAAGAAGCTAATCACAATTTTATTTACAAGAACGGAGTAACATGGGGTGGCCACAGAGAGTCGGTACAACCCTCTGGGCTGAGGGCTAGAGCTGACCTGTGTTGGGAGTCTAAACCCTACTGATGGACAAATGAAGATAGAGACATTTTATCTACAATTAAAACAATAAAGAGATTATGATTGGTTGACTGATACAAAAAATGGGTGTAACCTACATTAGCCTATCAAATACAGAATATACTAAATGGGTGGGTCCTTCAATGACCAGACAGGGCAATCACTCTTAATCCTTGTTAATCCTAGTTTAACTGGCACTAATCTCGATGGCACTTTTACTGGATGCTTGATGCTTACCCTGGGCTAGATCTCAATGAGCCTAATCTGATGTGTCAATTACAGGTGCTTGGATTACAATAGATGCATTTAATCGTCTGGTCATAACTCTGAATTACTGAAAGGGTTGCTAACAGCTTGAGTCCCTCAATACCTTAGGCTAGGATTTTATCTTGATATCTGTGAAATTGTGTAGCCGTAATTTATACCTTTTCAATAGTATGTCTGTGAGATGAGTTTTACAACTTTTGACTGGAGTCTTTCTCTAAGCTATTACTAATATTCTATATTTATATTTTCCTAATATCTGAATCCTAATATATTGCTTGTAGTGGTAATAATGAATAATGAATTTTGTATGAATTATTATCCCATGATAACTTCCCCACTGTCTGAAAAAGTTTGGTCCCCAAACTTGGACAAAAAAAATTCTTAGATGGACAATGGTATAAACTTAGTTGATGGACAATGGTAGAATAGTAAATGGTAATTAGATTGTCTCTTTGGTACTGGGGCACAAGTTCCTTCTGCTGTCATCTGGTCGCCTGATGTGGAATCGGGCTTGTCATGGCTCTGTGTACTGGTTCTTTATGTTTCCAGGAGGCCTTGTGATGGTTCCACATCCTGATTTTGGAGTTGACTTCTCCATTATCCCATGCAGACAGATGATTTACATGAAAAATTCAAAACAAAAGAGAGTTAGCTTGCTGCCAACAATATACATGTAACTATTTTGGTTTGTGCGAATACGCATATAAAGATACTTTTCCCTGCAAATAAATTGTCTATTAGTGCATTGTAAGAGGTGACTTTTATGTATTGAAGTCATGACCTGGAATAATGCATGGGCAGTTAATACAACGTACATGGGGTGATAAACACATAAATGTCATGTATGAGCAAATATATATACATGTGCTTGTGCTTTTAACAAGTGCATTAGTTCATTGAATCCATACATATACATATTGTGTTAAGAACCATTTGTTAGGTACCTTGTTAATTTGATTGATTGTGTTAGTCTTTTTAAACATCTTAATTTGTTTAGGATTTTTTTATTTTTGTTTTATTTTATTTGATTTTAGGTTTAGGTTTACCTTGATTTATCAGTCTGAGTTTACTTCACTCAGTTTTGGTTCATTGTAATTCAGCTCAGCCTGTACGCTTAGGCTGACTTTTGGTTTACAGCATTTTATGCATTATTGTTTGGTGCGGCTTATTTTTGCTTCCATTTCGCATTGGTTAAGTTTGTTCCTCACTGCACGGTTTATTTCGCTTTAGCTTTATGCTGCTTATATTTATTCCGCTTATTTGCGCGATTTATTTCGCTAGGCTTGTTTCGCTATGGCTAAGTTTGTATAAGTTCACTTTGCTTTTTGAGATTGGTTGATCAGATCAATGCTCAAAAGTTGTTGTGATGCAAATAACTCAGATGATCAGGCTGATGCCATTTGTTCACAACTAGTGTCATCAGGTAACACAATGTGAAATGACTTGACACAAAATTACCTACCTAGAGCTTAACAGTGCAGTTTATTGAGGAGACCTTGTACCTTTTGCAGGTATATGGCTATCTGGCGACCACAGGTAAATATCGGAGTGAATAATGGTATGGTACCATGGGTCTGTGACATTCGTGGTGATACACAGTATTCAAATGTGTACATGCCATTAGGTAATGTTGTAATGCCTGATTCATAGATTGATATACATCTGGATCAATCTCATCTCCAGGGTCTTTAGTTTCGAACCACTCACAGAGATCATTCCAGCTGTCATTGATGTACTCTTGTATGAGTTGGGGAGGAACAGTTTCAAAATAAGTTGTTCGATATGAGGATCATTTCTGTCATAAGCTATACAAGACTTTGACATAGCAGTCTCCTTGAACTATTTCTATGCCCACAATTCTCTTTACATCTTTATCGATTCTCGTAGGGTGCCTTGGTACCATTGGATATGGTTCGACGCCTAATTCTGGTTCTGTAATGGTCGATTGCTTTTGAAATTCTTTGACAGCACATTGACTGATTGATTGTCTTGTGCTGACTCTCTTTGGTTAAAGAACTTGTGATTCTTCAGTGGCCAGTTTTAAATTAGTTTTTCCTGACATATTTTTTCTTCACGTGAAATTCTCTCCCAATTGAGTCTGGAATGGTGCTGCCATATTCCCATGTGTTTCCTCTTTCTGGATCTGTCCATTTCACCCTGTAGTATATTTTGTTGTTTGCTCTCTTGGAAGCAAGAATTGAGTGAATGTCATCAGGATTGAAAACCTTGGCGTCATTGCTTGACGCTGGTTGTTGTGCTGGTTGTTGAACCTGACTTGATCCTGATTGTGGCCTTGACTTTGGCTGATGATGTTTGCTGTTTAGTCCTCTTTTTTCCCTTGTTTGTATTTCCTTTCTTCTTGGTTGGGTTACTTGGACCTGGGGGGCTCTGTTTCTTGTTTGGAACAGTTGTACTTGGTCCTGCTGAGCTTTCCTGAATTCCTTTCTTCTCTTGATTAGGATTCCTTGGATTTCCTGCCTTAGTTTTTTGAATTGACTTCCTTACCTTTAGGTGATTGATCCTGGGTTAAGCTTGTTGACTCTGCATTATTGCTGTCAAGTTGTGGATAGCTCATTGGTTCCTCATTGTCATCTATGATGTCTGAATCCATATTGTTGCTGTTGGTGAGGTATGGTTCTGGTGGATACTGTGGACGATCAGCTGGATCGAAATATGGCTTCAGACGGTTGGCATGGACCAATGGTTTGTGCACTTTGTCGTCAGAACTTCAGCGTAGTTTGTAGGTGAAATTTGGACCTAAGTGAACAATATAATAACTGCCATACCACTTTTTGGTTAACTTGTTGCAGAGGCCTTTTCTACCTTTTGACAATATAGCCATACTCTTTGACCTGGGGAGAAATCTGGCTCTTTAGCCTTACGATTGTATTGCTCGAATACACCTCCTTTGCTTTCGAGCAGTGTTTTCCGCTGCAATTGTCCTTGTAATTTCTAGCTCCTCAAGCAAATTTGAAAGATAGCTTTTTGTTGTTGTGGCCTAAATTTTCCTTTGGAATTAAAGAAACATCTTGTGGGGCTCTCATTTCTCGGCCGAAAAGCATAACAAAGGGGACTTTTGAGTTGATGAATTTGGGGCCATCCGATAGGCCATCATGATGCCTGGAAGAAGAAACCAGGGCCAATCATTTTGAGTTTTGTTACAATAGGCTCTTAGTGATTGATTGATGTAGGAATTGAGCCTTTCTACACAGCTATTTGTTTGGGGATGGTATGGGCTGGTATGAGTGAATTTGATAGCCAAAAGTTCACAAATAGCCTTGATTAATTTTGACATGAAGTTCTGACCTCTGTCTGAAATTAAGGTCCTTGGAGCCATACCGACAAAATATTTCTCTCACGAGAACATCTGCTACCTCAGTGGCTTCTTGGGTTCTCAGGGGAAAGGCTTCACACCATCTAGATGCTGCATCGGTGATGACCAAAATGTGCTTGTACTTGTCTGAGTTGTTGTTGGCAGGGACCAAGGATATCTACATGCCACCTGGTGAAGACCTCTTCCACAGGTAATGGACGTAGGGGTGCCTTCTTGCTGTGGTAATGCCTCTTGGTCTGTTGACACACTTCACATGTCTGGACATACGTTGCAATTTCGGTGTACATCTTTGGCCAGTAGTATTTTGGTCTCATGGTGTTGTGCATCCTTTCCTTTCCATGGTGACAACCGCCAAACTCAGAATCGTGGTAGGATCTCAGGACCTGGTTCCTGAGAGAGTTCTTGGAACTGGCGAGCTGTTTAATGAATTTGTCCGCATGACCCTTCTGTCTCTGTGGAACAAATCTGTATAGGATTCCTTCATCTATTTCAAAGTTGCCTGCTTCAATAAGGACCTTTTGGCGGTCCTTTTCATTTTCTGGAAGGACATCATCTTCTTTGTAGTCAAAAATTTTGGTAAAATCTGGACAAATTCTTTGGTAGATGACGTAAGTTGGGATGTGCATTAATATTTACCTCAACCATTGTGGCTTGTGTGACATCATCACTTGTAGCATGTAATGCTGCAACAACGTTTGCTGGTACTGTTTGGTAGTCCTCTTCATATTCAAATGTGACAGACAAATGAGTTGTCTGTGATTCACTATCTAAGTGATTAATACTTGGGATACAATCATCCTCAGTCTGAGTTGATTGGGTGACCTGTGAGGATAATTGCGGGCTTGCTGAATTGTTGGTATGGCCTCTTTGCTCAAGTGAAGTTACTGTAAAGACGGTTTTCTCAGCATCTTCTTCTGTTTGACTCTGACAGTTAATATTTTGCTCATATTCCCTGCGTGAGAGCGCATCGGCATTCCCGTTGGCTTTGCCGCTCGCGATGAACAATATCAAAAGTGTAGGTAGACAGTTCTAAAGACCATCGCCCTAACCTACCTGTGGCATCCTTGATGGATTTGAGCCATTTTAAGGCGATGTGGTCTGTGTA